GGTTGGGGCCGTCTCCCCCCCCCCCCCGCCCGTGCGCCAGATCTCCAGAAACGCAGGTTCCCTGCACTTAAAGTAGCCGGCAGCCGGCGTTTCCCCTTTAAGAGCAGCTGCGTTTCCCTTTTAAGAACAAAGCTGGCTTTTCCCTGCAAGCTTGCGGAGTTCGCACTTGGGATGAAACACAGGTTGCACACGCTTAAAGGGAGAGATATGGGTGGCTGTGGGTGTTGGGGGTGGGGCTTCCCCAGCCGGCCATCTGGCCGGCGGCAGGTAGAACCCCCCCAAAACGGGGGACCCCTGGCAAACCGGGGGGGGTTTGGCAACCCTAATTAGAACACTTTCTTAGCAAGTACCAGATTACCTGTTCATAAAGCAATACAGGTTTTATTTTTTTTAAATGACAACAGAACAAGACCTTCACATTTTGATAAAGCTATGCTGCCTAAAACATTCTAGAATATGAATCACAAGGAAGACCTCAAGGCAAAATTACTGTCAGTTGTTCTGTGGAATATGGCAGAACCCATGAACCTCAATATGGAGGTGGGAGTTCAGGCTTGAAGGCTTGTCAAGGCTTAATAAACAGGGTAAAATGACACATAATTAGAAACAAAGTGCCTCTGAAACAGTGAAGAATATGTCTTATAAAATACTGAGAGTTATTTAGATACTGAAGCCTAAAAAGCCCCTTGATAAATTGCATTGACACATTAGGGGTGTCTTGGAACAAAGTGTCAAAGTACTAAATAATCCCATTTTCTTCTTTAGGAACCGTAGCAGGATCAAGGCCATGTTGCTTCATTTGTACCGCGATATCAAATAGGTAGTCATAACACTCACACCTTAAATGTAAAACAGAACAAACAAAATCAGAGTTTGGCATCTAGATGACGGTTTTTAAAAAATCACCTCATTTAAGCAACCCTTGATCGTGGCAGAATGACAATATGTCCGTGCCCTCCCCCCCATTTGTGCAACAGTAATCTGGTAACTCCTTTCCCTCCATTAAAAACATTATTCCCAGCCAGTGTGGGGCTGGTACATTTATTATACATATTTTTAAAATTTTATGGATTAGTTGTATTTTAATCTTACTGGTCCTGACCATAATAAATTTGAATTTAAATTTGAAATTATACATATTTGGCAAACAGGATATAATTGCTTTAAGTTTGTTCTCAAATCTCTAAGGCTACCATGAAATGAGGGGTTATGGCACCAGGAATATTTGTAAAAGGATTATGAAGACAGAACAATATGTCTGGGCAGACAGGCCATCTGTTGTGTATGAGGGCCATTCATACCTGATTAGAAGGAAAGAGAGGGACAGAGGTGGGAGGCTGTCATCTGTGGTGGTCCTAAAATCTCCATGTTATCTTTAGTTATACCTGACTGTAACATGGATCAGTACTTGTAGCAGATACCATTACAAGAGCTTTCTTTCTAGGTGTACTCACATTGTCTTGGCTTTTTCCCAAGTTTCTCCCCAAACATAAACTCCATGACGCCTGACCAATACAGCACAGGAATCTGGATAATCATTCATGGCTTGTGCCATTCTCTGCTTCAAGTCCTTTTCTTCAGGTGTGTTCTCAACAACGGGAACGACTAAGGTGTCATCATATCTGAAAAAAATGGTGTGGTTGTTGCTGTTACATTCCCAGTGGAAGACATGTTCTCTTTTAGGTTATTATCACATTGCTTCCTTCTAGCAAACATTAAAAGAGAAGAATTATGTTACGTAATTCTCAGATGCCACAGCTCTAAAATGATCTCTACATAAAGCACAGAGATGATAATGTAATTCTTTTTAAGTTGAAATCAAAGAGATAACAAAATATCAAGCAGGTTTACATTACATCATTTTGGAAATAAGCCTCTGTCTGACATCATCTTTATCCAACCTGCTTCCACATATTCATCACTGCATCAATGCTGGGTAAGGTTGTCTAGAGCATTGGGTAGGACTGTTTGGGAGCATAATACTAATGGGCTCAATTCAGCAAAATCTAAGCACTTAAGTCTAATTGAATTGAATGGAAGTTTAAAATGCTTAACTTTGGATGGATCATGCCAATTATATTGGTTTTTATACACACACACACACACACACACACGCCTTTAGAAAGCAACAGAAGCAAAAGAACTTGTTTAGCATTCTGGGTCAAAGACAAAGTATTGCAAACAGAGCTCCGCTCGCAAAACAGAACTTTCTTGCCCCCCTCCCAAAGCAGTCCACTGTGCCCTTCAAACACTGACTGGGGCTTCAGGAACACCTAGGAACAGTGCTTGGGGGAACTGGTGAAAATCACGCCCCCCTTTGCTGGCAGAAGTGCCCATTTGTTGGCAGAAAGTGAGCACTGGATTACACTCTCTGTTTGTAAACAGTGGCCAGCCAATGCTACAGGAAAGCACAAACTGAGCAATACTAATCCCTTGTTATTGTTCACTTGCACATAGTAGTCATAAGTATGAGGTGAGAATGGAAAGGTTGTATTCTTGCTATGACTGCAAGTAGCTCCAACAGATCTGTAAAACATGAATTTAATAAATTTCTAAACTCTGTATTTATACCAGTGGACATCATCATCACGCACTGTGACAGTGAATTCCAAATTATACATTGTGCAACAATTTCCTTGGATGTTCCTCAGGGGTCATTTCGTAGAAAAAGAGCTAGGGGAACTCATTAGCATAATTCATTAGCATATGCCACACCCCCTGACATCAGGGGCCCGGCGGTGGACCTGCAAGGCCAGCAGGAGTGCGAGGAAGCCCCGCCAAGGCCCTCCTTGGCCCCAGGCAGGCAGGGGTGGGGAGAGGCGGGGAGGAAGCAACTTACCCTCCCTCCTCTCCTGCCTCCTCCTGGCTGAATGAGGGCTGGAAGCGGGGAGGCCGCAAGCAGGGGGCGGGGCTTCGTCATGTGCCCCGCCCCCCTGCACCTCACCCGGGGGAACTGTGTTCCCCCACGTTCCCCCCCGAAATGACCTCTGATGTTCCTGAATTCTTGTATTTTGAATGGAAGTTAACAAAAATATGATCTGACTTCCACTAAACTGATGTTAGGCTCCTAATCATAATTGTTTGCTAGCAGAATACCTATAGCAATTTACGAATTTTGGTTCTGTGAACAAGATGAACCATGTTCGTCAGTGGAATCTGCATAATGAATACCAAAGTGGGATTAAGATTACCTGGAATTTTTAAAAACCATGTTAATTAAAATTTGCAGAATAATGCCTATACAGATACTGGAAACATGCCTGAAATTATAAATAAAACATGACATGACTTTAAACAAAACAAATTTTTTAAAAATCAAACAGATGTTTGAGCTTCATGTTTTAAAATAGGATATAATTAGGAGATATATAATTGTTATATATAAAGATACATGGCTTTAAGCAGGGCTTTTTTAAAAAGAGAGAGAGAGAGAGAGAGAGAGAGAGGTGCTGGAACTCTCTCGAGGGAAATGAATTTTTCAATCTGTATACTGAAAACTCATGAACTTAAAAAAAATTTTTAAAGAATTTTGTTGAAGAGATTCTGGAACTCTGTTCCAGTGCGTTCCCCCGGAAAAAAAGGCCTGGCTTTAAGCCATAGGAATTTCAATAATGCTAGAATACTTTCATATAACCTAGAACACATGCCTGTAGTACATACATAATTAGAGCAACACTGTATTTGTGATGCTTCTGCAGGCATATCACATATTCTTTTGCAGGATTCCCCCCACACTTCCTGTTTATTGCTAACATGCCAATTAAAGTGTACAGGCATCAAATGTGTGAGGTTATTAGAAACTGCTGCATGCTTGTAACGGCACTTGTTAACCAACATTTATAAAACTCAGTAGATGTGGTTTGTGTCTTATATTTTCTGAGAAATGACCAAGTATGTTCTTTCATTTTCTTTTCAGCCAACAGGAAAACACTGGTGCACTTTTTCTTTAGTAAAAAGAAAAACCATTTATGTTGTACCAAATTTGATAAATGTACAAAGATAAAAAAATAATAATTTTAGATTACTTAGGTATGAATTGAGACATAATTCTGAAATGAGTGGTATGTATGTAGGAAAATGCATTATGAACCAGCAGACCTTATCTGTAGAAAATTACCTGAAATATCCTCCAGTGGTGCATTTCTTGATTCCTTTAATCATCTCCTGATGAGTAATCCTGAACTCACTTCCTGTACAGAGAAGAGTGGCCATGACAGCAGCTTTGGAGTGAGTATGGATCACTGCCCCTGCTCCTAAGAGAACAAGTTAAAGGAAGAAACTTCTCTGAATTTTTGAAAAGGAAAATATGACCTGCAAGTTGCCACTGAGCATTTAGCTCCCATCGCTTGTTTCCTCAAACCCTCTCCCTTGAGATGGCAGATGGAAGCTGTGATATTCCGAATGCAAAGCAAGCTCACTACATTGGAGCAACATCCCTCTCCATTAAACATAAGGATCTTCTTTTTATATGTTCTTGAAGTATAACTTGTGTTTCCTGAATAGCCTTGTGAAATCAGAAATTACACTGTACTTGCAGTGTAAATGAAATGTACAATTCTCTTCTTCAGATCAACACAGCAGTCTGTATACTGGGGAAAATGTATAGATTCTCTTCTTCAAATCAACACAGCAGTCTATAGCACTGGGGAAAATGTATAGATCCTCCAGCCTTTCACTAGCTCATTACTGCCAATTCATGGCACCATATTTTGTTCTTAAGCATCACTAACAAATGAGCCTATTAATACATGTTCTTCCATGCTTTCTTTGTAGGTCTTTTCTTTTAAAACAAAAACATTTCTGGCAAGAGGAACGTCAAAATATCCAGAAAAGAAGAACACAAGCCAATGCTCCATGTGTTTCATCAATACTGGCCCAGGACATTAGTAGAAAACTAACAAGCATGTACATGAACAAGAGAACAGCAGTACTTACTGATCTCAGTAGCATATTAACTTTTTGTTAGGCTGATTTAAAAGGTTAAGAAAATAAGATCCAAATAATTAATGCCCATTATAATACTCCCTATTTATTTCTCCCCAAAGATCTTAATATTGGGGAATGCTACAACAAGCAAAACAGCAACCCAGGCAGGACAGCTGCTGTACTTCTAGAACTGTATATATGTAAGGTGAAGAGAAAAGAAATACAAGGAAAAATACTTAAAAATAGAGCTTCCACCTCTGTGTGTGTTGATTTCATTTAAACACCATCCCCTCTTTATTATAAGACATACATCTTCACAATAAAATTCAGAAACAGATCCAGATTCAGTTACGCGAAAACACTTTCTCTTGGTTTCTAGAATTTGCTTTGTACCTGCAAATTGCAGTCCTCTCTGATTTTAAAATTTCCAAAAGATTTTTGAAAGAAAATATGAAATCCAGCTTTTATCACCCTTTACTTGTTACTGTAAACTGCACAGCCTTTCCTATTCACACACACCACCTTGTAGTATCTCTGCCACTCTGCAGCACAACATTCTATCTCCCAGGCCCAACTGTCAGGTCTTCCCCAAGCCACCTGATAACCATGTGGATCAATTGTCAACATGTTTCGACTGATTATTTTCTCTTCAATAGGATGAACACTCATGAACACTGTGTGATATCACAATATATCAGCTAGCAACTTGCACAGCAAGTATTGCTTATTATATGATATTTTAGTGCTTGTTACAATTGCCTTTTACTCGTAAAACAAAAGAAAGGGTTTAGATTGCTGCAGTTATTGCAGGAATTACACAATATTTGGTATAACTACTTATCAGCCATGCTTTTTTTGGGGGGGAATCTCCATTTTATCAATGAAATGCACTGTGATTGCGTCTGCAATTGATGACAACTCTGCCACAAGGTAGGTCAAATGTTAGGGAATTAGATATTGGCTGTGAGGCTTTTGCGAGCTACTTCACAGATAGTCTTGTCGTTCCGCCGTAACCTCCCCACCACACTTGAAACAGTCAGCAAACTCGAGACCCCATGCACATCTTCTGGTCAGGTTTTGGATTATTTTAGTTCACTCAGCCTAGAAGAAGTTGACAAACTGCTCTTAACGTGCCTCCTTGACCTGTGCCCATCGTGGCTCATTAAAGCGGGTTGTGATGGGTTTCAAGGTGCCCTAGGGGAGATCATTAACAGGTTTCTCTTGGAGGGCTTGTTCCCTGGGACACTCAAGGAGGCCGTGGTTCATCCC